CCAATGCGTTATGTGCATAGTGTTTCGGGATTTCCAGTTCAAGAAGATAGTTTTCTTGGCGATGGCTAAAGCTACAAGGAATATCCTTTTGTTTATTATTTCCTGATTGAGAGTTGATAGATCACCCAGTATACAGAGTAAGGGGGATAATGGGATGTGGCAGCCCAGGAGGCGGGATAGGGATTCAGTGACGTCTTTCCAAAAGTGTTTAATGGGTGGGCAGTGCCATGTGGCATGGATACATGTGTCCGGACAATTTTTTTGTGATTTTTAGACAGCCTTTCCCCAGTGTAGTGTGTTCTGTGAAGTCTTATACTGTATGAGCTGAAGGTTGGCGTTTTTAGTCATGGAATAAATATTTTTACAAATCTGAGTCCAGAAGTCAGTATCAGGAGCAATAGAAAGGTCTTCTTCCCATTTGATTGTTGGTAAAGTTATGATTTTATTTGAATTTGTTATAATTTTGTATATTTTGGAAAGTAATTTTTTCGGGGAGGATATATTAACTAATTGTCATTTGAAATCTTTACAAGGTTTTGCCACTATCCTTAATTTAAATATAAAAACATAGTAGTATGATCACTTTTTCTTTTATATATTTTATGGCCTGGAAGTGTCTCTGACAAACAGGGCAGATCAATATATATATATACACTGAACAAAATTATAAACACAACACTTTTGGTTTTGCCCCCATTTTTCATGAGCTGAACTCAAAGATCTAAGACTTTTTCTATGTACACAAAAGGCCTATTTCTTCCTTTATCACTTCAGCTTTATAAAGATAAACTTGTTTCTGCCACCACAGGCATTTGCCAATTTAATAACCTATATTATGTTTTTGAACTAATGCCATTTTCTGTTTCCCAATATGGGTACGTTAAATCATTTGATGCTAAGAGAATAGATATTTCTTCATCATAGCTCAGGCGCTCTGTGAAAACAATAAAACTCCTGCTCTGAGATGTAATCGCTGAAAAACAATTATCATAACCACGGGCTACATAACAGTTAACAAAACACATTAAACAAAGTAATACCTCATTTTATTTTTAAATGAAACATAACAGTTAAATTATAGCAATTTTAATGTATAAAAGTAGATATTTTACATAAATTAATGGGATGTGATATAGATTTCATTAAATTGATTCATTAAAAATGTAATTTAAATGACCCCATTTATTATTTACTTAAATTACCCCATTAATTATATATATATATATATATATATATATAATGTGTGTGTGAAATTAATAGTTTATTTATACAATTAATATTACTTTTATTCAGCAAGGATGCAGCTTTGACAACATCACAGGAAATATTTCACAATATTACAATTTTGCAGTTTTATTATTTTTATTATTACTGCATTTTTGATCAAATAAATGCAGTCTTGGTGAGCATAACAGACTTCTTTCAAAAACATTAAAAGAAATCTACCTGACTCCAAACTTATTATTATTCTTTTTAGGAGTGCATTCAAATGCCAAAAGAGAGCTAAAAGATACAGTGCGCCTCAGCAGTTGCACTGTCTGTTTGATGTCTTCACACAAAGTGATGCACATTAATGTTTGCATACATCACACTCACATAAGCTCGTTCTGCACAGTGGTGATGTCATCTCTGGCACCTCAGTAATGCTGACGAACTCGACACGTTACCTCACGTGAACCACACAGCATTCCGAGAGCCCCAGTAAAACTGAATTTAGCAGACACGATCAAATCTGTGGCCTTTTGAAATTGAAAGCGGCGGGTCACATCACGGCATTGGCGAAGTCCACGGGGCTCCAGTCAAATGAAAACAAGACCCAGGCATAGGTCTCATTTGCATCATGGGTCTGGTGAGTCATTTGGAGACTCCGGAAAAAGACAGGGCTGCGGGAGGAAGAGGAGGAGGAGGAGGGCGAAGAGCTTCCCTCAACGGCGTGCAGTCGTAGCACTGGCAGCGATGCAAGGGCTCCCCTGGAGCAGTGTTTAGAGGCCTGGTGCCTAATCTCTGATGAAATGTCTATTATCAGAGACTCTGCGGGAGAAAGTGAAGCAGAACAGATATGATGGAGAGGCGATTAGCTTCTGCCCTGCTGCATCCTGCTTCCCTCTAGCTCACTCAGTCATTCATTCATAATGTGCACCTCCTGTATCAGCCTGTGTCACGAGCGCCAAGAAAGTTTGCATGAAATCCAGCCGACTGGTGACAATTTAAGTGCGAGAGCCTGATAAAGCTCACACAGGCAAGAGGCTGCTAGGTGCAGTGCACAAATCTTCGATATGACAGTAACTCATGCAGGTCCCATTCGTGACAAATGGCTTTGGAGGCGCAGTGTAAACTGCAATGGGATGACAGTTTTTGTAATTACGAGTGTCGTGACGTATGGCCTTTTCCTCCGGGTGCCGATGAAATGTCTATTATCAGAGACTCTGCGGGAGAAAGTGAAGCAGAACAGATATGATGGAGAGGCGATTAGCTTCTGCCCTGCTGCATCCTGCTTCCCTCTAGCTCACTCAGTCATTCATTCATAATGTGCACCTCCTGTATCAGCCTGTGTCACGAGCGCCAAGAAAGTTTGCATGAAATCCAGCCGACTGGTGACAATTTAAGTGCGAGAGCCTGATAAAGCTCACACAGGCAAGAGGCTGCTAGGTGCAGTGCACAAATCTTCGATATGACAGTAACTCATGCAGGTCCCATTCGTGACAAATGGCTTTGGAGGCGCAGTGTAAACTGCAATGGGATGACAGTTTTTGTAATTACGAGTGTCGTGACGTATGGCCTTTTCCTCCGGGTGCCCAGTCCAGCTGTCTCTCTAATGAACATATATAGCTACATTTAAAAGTCTGTGACTGTATAATATTGTAAAAAAACAAACAGGGCTGGGATCCAGTAGGGCGCCTCAAGATGACTAAAGACCAATTCACATTCATCCTAAGACTTCTGGAATTCTACAGTTGAATTATATTAGTTACTTTAATTTTCACAACTTCTGAATTCTGTAAATTTAGATGTTTATTTTTTTTTTACTTTGAATATTATTGTGGACAGCAGGGGGTTTTGGAGTTTAAAAAAAGGTTGAGAATCACCGATTTAATGCAACCCTTCTGAAAGAGCTTAAACAAGTCTAAGATGGTTTTCCGGTCTCAGATGGTCTTCCATCCTGGTCTGTTGACTGGTTATAGAGCAGCTTGGATAGACTGGGAGACTGGGTTAAGGGCCCGTTCACACCAAGGACAATAACTTTTAAAAATATTCTGAATTGAAAAGAATAGCAGAGTTACTTTCAAAAAGATTTTTTTCATCTGCTGAAAACTAAATACATTGACAGCCAATCAGAATCCATCCTTGAGTATTTAAAGTATCAGAAGACTTAATTGCAGCACATGCTTATAATAAACAAATGTTTTCATGCCTTGGTGAGGACGCTAGTCATCTTTCTTGGTGTGAACAGGCCTTAATATTAGGGTGGATATTCAGTTTAAAACAGCTCTTATTATTGGGGAATTCTTATTTGGTGAATTTTTCTCCCTTGATTCAAGACGTCTGAATTTCTGAACAATCCCACATAGAATCCAATGCGTCTGAATCCTAATGACAACTGTGATTTGCAAGTCTGCAGTGTTATGAGAGAGCAACGGCTGACCGATTGCGAGAAAGCCAGCGTCCACTCCCTGCAATCTGCATGATAATCAATCCAGTCTCATTCAGCCAATCAAACTGAGCAAAGAGACCCAAATTACTTCATTTAATACACAATTTAATTCAGAAACATAAATCATCACATTACTGACAGCTCTCATAGAGCCAGTGGGAAGAGGGACCGAACCACGAGTGAGAGAGAGAGACTGAATTAAAACCATCAGACCTCCTTTACCTCTCCCTGTGGACTCAGCAACATAATTCATAATTTCTTCTGAAGAGAATGTACATTTTTCATAATAGAATTAATAACCAATTTTAAATTATGTCCCCGACTTGTGACCCAAGATACGTTAATTATTGATCACCCATTTCTGTGAAGAGGTGTTGTAATTACCTAGCATAATGTGACTCCTTCATCACATTTAAACATTTATATTGCTTATCTTTCCAAGGAACCTCTGGCTAAGTTTTTCCAATTACACTGATCAAATCGAGAATGTGGGGTAATTCTTCTTTTCTTCAATTAGAACTATCTGTAGTATACATAATTTATGAAATTCCGTCATACCTTAGCGAAATGAGAGAAAGATAATGAATATCTGCTACTTACAGTTATGCAGGGCAGACAGGTTCAGGTTTGATGATGAGAGGGTCCCATCATTCTCCAAAGTAATGTTCTTCATAGCACGTTCAGAATATTGTCATTTGCTGGACTGTTATGCTAATGATCTACCGCTATTTGTGAGTGTGCTCCAATTTTTTTTCCATTCAAACTTTAACTGCACCCTAAAATAAGCCCGTATTGTGGCTTCCTTTTTGGAAATATCTGCAGACCGGAGAGGTTTCATAACCCTGAAAGTGTGTGGGATAACCTAATCAGACCGCAAGAATCCGATCTCGCTCCTTCATTCTGAATACAGAGTCTTCTTAAAGCCGTACAGATGACCACCTCAGACCTGGCAGCATCAATTCCACTTAACCTCCTCGGAGATGATCATTTCCTCTTCGCCTTGAGCTTTTCAATGCAATTTTAGTCAATGAAATCATATCAGAGGACAAACGCACTCCATCATCTGAATGAATATAAGATCCGCCAGCCGGCATCGTGCAAAGAAATTCCGAGACAAGTTCCTGTTATCTTGAGAAACTTTATTGATGGTTATTGTTATGCAGATCATAGTGCATGCACATACAATGACAAGGAGAAAGCCTGTCCACAACACATACTTAAAGCAGAAAGAGCAGAATCACAGCAGTGGGTAAGATATTTTTGCCAAGTTGTGTGATGTGACGCACACAGTACACAAGAGGATATTTGCAGCCGGATAAATTGGAGCTGCTCTTTTGTTTGTATTTTATGCAATTTAAACTTTTATAAATACAAAAGAAAGAAAAATGAGATATGTGACAAACACCTCTAATTAGGTATACTAGAATGTGGGGAAATTCTTCTTTTCTTCAATTAGAACTATCTGTAGTATACATAATTTATGAAATTCCGTCATACCTTAGCGAAATGAGAGAAAGATAATGAATATCTGCTACTTACAGTTATGCAGGGCAGACAGGTTCAGGTTTGATGATGAGAGGGTCCCATCATTCTCCAAAGTAATGTTCTTCATAGCACGTTCAGAATATTGTCATTTGCTGGACTGTTATGCTAATGATCTACCGCTATTTGTGAGTGTGCTCCAATTTTTTTTCCATTCAAACTTTAACTGCACCCTAAAATAAGCCCGTATTGTGGCTTCCTTTTTGGAAATATCTGCAGACCGGAGAGGTTTCATAACCCTGAAAGTGTGTGGGATAACCTAATCAGACCGCAAGAATCCGATCTCGCTCCTTCATTCTGAATACAGAGTCTTCTTAAAGCCGTACAGATGACCACCTCAGACCTGGCAGCATCAATTCCACTTAACCTCCTCGGAGATGATCATTTCCTCTTCGCCTTGAGCTTTTCAATGCAATTTTAGTCAATGAAATCATATCAGAGGACAAACGCACTCCATCATCTGAATGAATATAAGATCCGCCAGCCGGCATCGTGCAAAGAAATTCCGAGACAAGTTCCTGTTATCTTGAGAAACTTTATTGATGGTTATTGTTATGCAGATCATAGTGCATGCACATACAATGACAAGGAGAAAGCCTGTCCACAACACATACTTAAAGCAGAAAGAGCAGAATCACAGCAGTGGGTAAGATATTTTTGCCAAGTTGTGTGATGTGACGCACACAGTACACAAGAGGATATTTGCAGCCGGATAAATTGGAGCTGCTCTTTTGTTTGTATTTTATGCAATTTAAACTTTTATAAATACAAAAGAAAGAAAAATGAGATATGTGACAAACACCTCTAATTAGGTATACTTGTAAACAACATGAAGGGAAGTCTTCGCATATGCACAGTCAAGCTGCGACTCTTCAAGAACACCTCGACAGCTTGTTTGTGTAGCACTTGTAAATGACATAGTTCAATATCATTATTCCTATTTACATATAGATATCTTTTTCACAAGTCATATATTTCTCAGTTTCTCGATAATCAAACAGTTTCAAAGTGTAAAGGCTGTGTTCTAGAAAATAATAGTACAAAGGATGTCACATTAAAAATGATATAAAAACGAAACACTCAAAAGAAGCGGAGAACCAAAAGAAAACAGACAACAGAACGTCCCACAATTGAGAAGTAGTAGTAGTAGTGATGGAAAAAATTGCAGGATGTGTGTGCAAAATTGTACAGTTGACAAAAATACTATGATTATATCTACATAATGATTGCATTACTTGTAAAGTGTTGATATAAATCTGTGTATGATTCCATAAAAATGAGACACCTTTCTCTAACAGTTGGTCTACCACACTAAATCTAAAACATTATACAGTTGTGTTTTTTTGTATAAGAGAACATTTTCACTGCACAGATCAAATTTAATACACCGTTAGTTTATTTTTTCCCACTCTCGTCTTGTACAAATAATGAGTTTCTTAACTTCTGAGAAAAAAAAGCAAAAAACAAAACAAAAAAAACAAATGAAGATAAAAGAAAAACTAAATATATAACCAGCGCTATTGGCGCCGTCTTTTTTTTTTTTTTTTCTTTCGTGTTTCGACTCTCCCGTATTATAAAAGTCAGCATTTATATCAATCGAAGTACTGGAAGTACTGTAATATAAAAAGAACATCTGGGTCTGACTTAAGGACTAGATAATAGTTAAACAGTAAAATACTGTCATGGTGAATTTTTAGGGGAGTTTCTACGAGCTGCTATGTATAGTCTGAATATACACACTGAACACCCCAGGAACATAACCTTTGGCTTTGAGTAATGACTGATATAAGACAGCTTAAATAATCGATACCTCAGTGGTCTCTTTGACCGGCTCTGTGTCTTTACTGCACTCGGGGGATTACACCGACTTTACTGCCAGCCCCCGGTCCTTCGCCCACCACGCCCGTATCTACTCCTACCCACAACCCCCTGCACACGCCTCCTCTACGGCACAGAACCCAGAAACAAAAGAAACCAAAAGAAAGACAAAAGGCGATGTCAAATGGAAGCAGAAACCACTGGATGACTCTAGTCACTTACACTCTTACAGAATATGATAACTCCAAAGTGACTTGAATATTTATCATACACAACTCATTTACATGATAAAGCCCTAACAATTTGAATCTTATTATTATTATTATTTTTCCATCTTTTTAAAATCGAGCAGCTCTCTAGATCACCACAGAAACCTCTACAGCCAACAATCTATGCAATCGTTAGAAATTAAAAACCCACAATATTAAAATACACAGCACAAAATATTTGAGGTATAAGATGAAAAATATCCGTTTTTGTCTTCTCTCTCTTATTTGAAAGTGTTTTTTTTAGTATGGCGCGAAACGACTGTATCCACCTCGGTATATACTAGCCTGCAAAGAAGAAAGAACGAGACCCACATCGTCGGCGTGGCTTCTGGTCTTGGCATCAGTCAAGGGAGCGAAAGCATTCTGGAAGAGAAGCCACGGGTTTGGACACGTTTAAATGACACAGTTTAGAGGAGACCTCCGCTAGCATTAAGGTTATTTGCCGTACATACCCCCCGGACTAAACCAATCACGTTCCATCATGCAGCAAGCACACCGACACACGTCATGCCAGAAGAGATGCATTTAGCTACTTAAAAATGTAAAAGGGGTGAAAGAAATAGAGTTAACAGAGCAAATCAAAAAATGAGCAACGAATGCAGAGTTTCATATGCCGCAAAAAGCATTTTCTTAACCTATTTTTGTCTTATTTTCCAGCAAAAATCCATAAAACAATAAATTGACAAAAGAAAACATGTATACGATGTAACTGAGAAAATATATTGAAGTAAAAAATAAGGTGCACAAAAAAACTCAATTGTCTATTGTTAATAGTGTAGATGTATGAAACACAGCTCATACAGAAGTCACTTTCAAACCAAGCAGCTTTCTGTTAGTCTATGCGGAGAGTCTTTTGCCCTCATGCCAAATTGCAGATTGTGTGGATTCTTACTGAAACAACTGTATTTCGCCAGCAAAAATATGCAGAGCAATGGTAAATGTAACCACACCTTTTGAGATTTGTTCTTAAAACAAGAAACTTAAAACGTTCAAATAATTAAATTTGAAAATAAAATAATATAAATAAATAAGTCTTATTAACATACACAAACGTTTTAAGCATTTTTTCTGGAAAATCAGACAAAAATACAGATTAAGAAATTGATCTTCGCAGTGTACGTTTTGTATGCAACGTGGACGTTTTGGGATCAAAAGCAGTCCACGTACAAACAAGTCGCACATCGCAGTGGGTGCCTGGAGACTCTTATCAGTCTTCCTCGCACTCTTTCATCACACCGTCTCTCCTCTGCTCCCTCTCTCTTTTAGCTGTTGCTACAGCACCACTTAGGTGATGGATTTAATTATCAAAATGACTAATTATTCCATTAAGGGGAGCGTTCGGCTAGGTGATATTCACAAAATTAGAAATATAATAACTAACATGCACTACACTGCCAAGAAATTAAGACATTTATCACGTTTACTGGGAGGATTAATGTGGCATTTCAGCTGCCGTTAGCACAAGAGACAAATTCAATTAAGTTTAAATGAGGAGATGTCAGCAGTGCTAAAATCCATGCAAGAGGAAAAGGTGGGAAGAAAAGGGAAAAGAATGAGCGTACATGACAAGCGTGCACTGAGAAAAGAGCAGGGAAGGGATAAATAAAGGGGTCATGAGGAAAGAGGAAAAAAGAAAGAAGAATCGAGGCAGGTAGAGATGGAAATTCATGCTCACCATGGCACCAACGCTGTATGTGGCTGCTGGAGCAAGTGCGTGGTTGTAGGGGTCGGCAGCATAAACTCGTCCGTAACTGTGGAAACATGGAGAGATGGTCAGATCGCGCTGCCAAGTTGAAAATCGCTTCTTTTCTATGCAAACACAAATGCCATACAGTCATATACGACACCACGGGCTGAAACAACTACGTATGGTGATGATTTCAGTGTGTTTGGAAAATGACAATCAAATGAAGTCAGAGAGGAGATTACATGGCTCTTGCAGTCATGCTGCACAGGGCAAAGAGGAAGACATCACTGTTTGAAAGTTGAAGGGCCACTTGTGCAAGACCTCACTAGATGCTCTGTTCATTCTAATTGTGTGATTATGGGATGCCAGCACTTACGGCAATATCCGCTTGTATATACAAACTTTGCAAATCGGTACCAAGAAGAATTTGCTTGTTTTTTCAAGTTCAATACACTTGCACAAACAACCCTTCAATTTTTTAGTAGTTTAATTTAGGCATATTGATCAAAAAGGCCAAAAAAAAAAACATCACAGGAAAAAAAAAATCAAACAGACCAGAGATCAATGTTTTACAGTACTTGCACCAAAAAAAAAAAAACCCGAAGCAAAACATCTGTTCATTATTCTCGTTCGGGGCTGACTTGATGAAAATGTTGCAGGGTGTTTAGTGTAAATGTGAGCTTAATTAATACTTTTCTAGTGTCTTATATCCTGAGATCTCACCCTGTTCTCCCTCAAAGTTTGAGCAGGCTTCGTTTGAAAACAACCTGGCATATCTGCTCCTCAAAGCCTTGTTATGCATGCATGTTGTTTCTGGACCAGATAAAGAGCCAATCAGAGGGCAGAGAAATGAGCCAATTTACATATTCTTCCACTCCTGGCGATTAAGAAGTTAATCCACTGCAAATTAGTATAGACATTGTTATTCACTACACAGTAGCTCTGTCTTCATATTTCAATGCGCGGCCAAGTATTTTGTTTGACCTGCGTTATCTGTGTTTACAGGGGTTAGTTTTAATGAGTATGCGGTGCAGTGATCAAACCAGGGCTGCCTTCGCTCTTCTGGAGCTAAGATTGAAAAGGTGACCCTCAGGATATAGCACCTGGTGAATTATTCCTAAAGTATTAAGCAAAGGAAAACACGCTGATTGGATGAGTCACCCGAAATGCAAGAACTGGGGTTTTTAATTGCCATTTGAAGGACACTGAAAATGTGTTTTTGTTTGTTTTTCTAGCAGTGCCTGCCGGAAACGCACTACAAATTTAAGCTTAAACTCTTACTTGTGACTATCGGTTTGTTCCTTTCTATGATCCGTTATTCTAAGCTTCTCCTGCCGCCCATCGAGACTGAAAAAAACCCTGATTTATGAGACTGGTGAACTCTATGTTTGTTAATGAACACCAGAGACTCTAACATATGGCTAAATTAGATCTGGGCCCTGAGATACAGGTTAATAAATCTCAGATGGCTGGGATATATCTGCATTATTGACTAGATGCTCATTATTTTGGAAAATGTGTGCTCCAGCAGCGCTATTCCTCTAAATGCATTGACTTTTCCCACCAGGAGACCGAACGGACAGCTCATTTCTATGATTTCTTTAAACAATGCCAGGCTGTGCTTTAGGGGCTCTAATGCGAGTTAGTCTAAATGCGGGCCTTCTCCGCTTTTCTTACTTACTGATTACGTGGATTTGCCAACAGGATGCGTGCGGCCTTCTGGGATATCAGCAATTATTGAACAGGGACAATTAGACCATAATTTGCAAGTTTTTCAGACTCCAAATTACACATTCCAATTGTGTTTTACAGAAAACAGCTGATGTCTTCAAGAAAGTGCCTTCTGCTAAATTACAGCCTTGTTAGCATATTCATTTTCCATGGTCGAGGGGGAAAAAAAGAAGGGAAGGGAAGGGAAAGCAATTATATCTATATGCCTTTTCATAGTGCAGCTTTATAGCGCAGATGTTCAAAACATCTAAAAGCTCTTTTTGGAGGAGACATGACTCTCTTTGGTGTTTCAGCTAATCCTTTATCACTTCAGCTTTATAAAGATAAACTTGTTTCTGCCACCACAGGCATTTGCCAATTTAATAACCTATATTATGTTTTTGAACTAATGCCATTTTCTGTTTCCCAATATGGGTACGTTAAATCATTTGATGCTAAGAGAATAGATATTTCTTCATCATAGCTCAGGCGCTCTGTGAAAACAATAAAACTCCTGCTCTGAGATGTAATCGCTGAAAAACAATTATCATAACCACGGGCTACATAACAGTTAACAAAACACATTAAACAAAGTAATACCTCATTTTATTTTTAAATGAAACATAACAGTTAAATTATAGCAATTTTAATGTATAAAAGTAGATATTTTACATAAATTAATGGGATGTGATATAGATTTCATTAAATTGATTCATTAAAAATGTAATTTAAATGACCCCATTTATTATTTACTTAAATTACCCCATTAATTATATATATATATATATATATATATATAATGTGTGTGTGAAATTAATAGTTTATTTATACAATTAATATTACTTTTATTCAGCAAGGATGCAGCTTTGACAACATCACAGGAAATATTTCACAATATTACAATTTTGCAGTTTTATTATTTTTATTATTACTGCATTTTTGATCAAATAAATGCAGTCTTGGTGAGCATAACAGACTTCTTTCAAAAACATTAAAAGAAATCT